GTGGACCTCGAGGACCACCAATTCCTTGACGGCTTGGGATCCGCCCGGAACCAGCCAGGTGCGGATGTGCTGTGTGCGTCAGGGGGGGGCTCCAGCCTTCCAACCTCCTCCTCCGCCACCCTAAGAGTTTCCGTTCAAACCAAGGGAATACGTTCCAGAAGTCGTCGGTAATCCGGAGTATTATTACCCGCGGTACACGGGATATGCCGCAAATCCATCGCCGCCCGTGTACGCGAAACTCCAGCCAGTTAACCGGCCCACCGCGGAGCCGTCCCTTAACCAAAACAGGGACGGCCAAAGGAAAGGGGCAGTTTCCCCAGTACCCTCCGCCCTGAGACCCCATCAAGGCCCGCTATGGTAGGATTGGGTAGCGCACCCGCTCCGTCCGCTGTCCCGGCCCGATCGCCTTGGCTCCTGGCCAACCCTGTACGAGTGCCCCAGGTGGTCATACCGCCAGTAAATCGGCGACGCTCCAGATCCACGACGCCGGCGCTCTATGAAGTGGACGCCATGGAAAACCCTTTGAGGCTAAGATTAGACGTGCTGGTCGGGACTCCGAAAATTGAAAAAAATATATATATATAAACAACAAAAGTTTCCAGGAGGTAAATAGCAATAAAATTTTGTGTAATTCAGTTATTAAAAAAAAAAAGAAAAAATTCGCTTAGCACGTACATAATTAGGTTGAACGATCTGATAAATACTCACAGAGGGTTCACCAACCCAACCTTATTTTACGAGGCAGGCCCTAATTTATGGTGAAATTCGATACCTTAAAGGGACAGTTGAATAAGAGTTGACCGAAATTATCTTATTTAATATAATTTCGGTTTTAAAGGGCAGAGGGATGTAATATTCCGAGAAAATAGACTCATAAATCACAATGTCATTTACTGTTAAAAATTAAATAATTAATCAAAAACTGAATTTCCGTATTTCTAAATCTGTATCGATAAATTGAAAATGAAACAAATTAACGCTAACGTAATTCGACCCCCCCCCCCCCCGCTTGTCATCTCCTAAATTAAATTCTTAAAAATAATAAAAACGAGGACAAGGTGATGACATCACTAACAACCGATCAATGAACTTTTGTTAGCGAAGGCCTTTCGCGTACCAAAATTAAGTCGAATGAATTATGGCATTCTTGGACCCAAACGTTTTGACCTCAATAAATCAGATTATTGCGACATAATTAATTGATTTCAGGCTAAAAATGATATAAAATTCCAAGGAAATTGCATCATCTTAATTGTCATGGACAAAGAGATTGGGGCCATCGGGTTTTATATAAATATCGCGTTTCTAGAAGGAACGGTTAGTACTAGTTAACAGAGAGATGAGTTCGCAGTCCTGTCCAAACTGAATAAAGATTTTTCGAAAAGTTTCTTTTACGGCCTCGGTAACAGTCTTTGTAAAAGTAGCGGAAAGTTTTGAAAGAAAGAACATTTAAATTCGTCAACATTTATGTGCGTGCTAGCTAAATATTTTGAGTAATTAATTAAGTAATTTTACGTGTGTTTTATGGACAAAATGTAAGTACTCTATAGTGACAAGATTTATTTTTGATGAATATGACTTTGTGTGAATTTTACTAGAAAAACTTTTGACTTTTAATCACTGTGGAACTTTATTACATTAAAATTAATAACTTGAGTGTTTTATAAATGAAACATTATCGCATAACTTTAATTACCTTAAGATATAATGACATTTAATGGTGCAAAGAAAATATGAATGGACTTTACAATGCATTTAACAGAACATACATAGCTTCGATTTGAGTAGGGATTATTAAAGAAGTTTGAACTGGTTTGTCCAATTGAAAATTAAGGGCTATAATAACGAACTCATAAGAATTTAAATAACTTTTGTATGTTAGCCAGGATGGCGAGAATTTGTAATTGTTCTAATTAAATGGAATAGGAAATCTTGAAAAATAGAATTGTCTTAAAATATTGGAAAGTTGTTAAAGGAAATTTATGATAGTAATTTGTTCTGTTGAAAAGGAAATGGGATGTGTAGAAAAGAAACTTGTGTTTGAAACAAGATTGTTGACGATTATCATTCAATATAATGGAGGGGTTAGTTTAAGAACTGTTGTCATTCAGGAGATAAAACTTCTAACGATTATCATTAGACGTATTGAGAAGTTGTATTTGAAATTTGTTATTCATCAAGAGACATTGATGATCTTAAGTGCAGAACTTTTAAATTAGGGATTTTATTTTTCAAGTAGAAGTTATTGTAAGATTTTATGAGAATAAATTAGTTGATAAACAAATAGGTAATTATTTTGGGTTTTCATAAGTAAAGGACTTAGAGATTTCAAAGAATTATTTGATTAGGTAAAGGGTAGTTATTAGGAATGATTCGGATGTAGTGAAATGAGTTAAATTATAAATTATGAGAAATAGTATGAATAGGGCGTTTCTTATTTAGTAGGGATATTTCAGTGGTCCGTAAAAAGTAACAATCTAGAACGGATGTGAAGTATTGATTTTATAGAAATAAAGAAGGATGTAAAGTACTGGAAGATATTTGGCTGATTTTTTTTTGGGTTTTATGTAAAATAAAATATAATTTAGTACACCTCATTAGTTTGTTTTTCTCTCTTGCAAATAGACCCTCTTCCACAGATTAGATAGCAACTCCAAGTATATAAACACCATCAATATACCGCTCGCCATTTACCATCTAATTATTTACATAGAGTACTTGGGGCGTTTTGCTACAACTCTAATTTCTCGAACGGTGATAAAATGGAATTATTTTATTTCAGCTCCACGATCAAGAGAAGGGCCAAAATCAAAGTTATCTTCTAACATCCAAATTGAACCAGGACGATCTCGAGAATTTGTTTTCGATTGCTAGGCAGCACGGAGGTTATACCCGCAATCCATCAGCGCAACGATTACGATGCACATTCAGACAAATAACTATTAATCGTTTGTTGCGCTCTGCTGAATCATCGAACTGTGCAGAAGATGATGATTTTTTTTTGGCAGTCAGCGATTCCATGCTGAAAAAGTATGATTACCCTCAAAATTCTCTGACGGAAAATGTTGAAGGCAACGCTCTGCTACCCAATCCAGAGAGAGAATCAGAGCAGGAATCAGAAAGTGACGACGATGACGAAGCCGAAATAAGTTTTCCTGAAAATATAGATATATGGAGACGTGCTCTGGAACTATGTTTGCAACTTTACAAAAGCACTAATTGTGCAAAATGTAAAGATTTGCTTAATTCAAAAAGTGAATTGAACGTAGGTGGCCAAGATACATTGATCTTTTTCAGGCAATATAAAAAAGAACGGAATCTGATGGTCTTTGCACTCCTACTACACTCGGTAAAATCCTTTGCCATACTGCTTTGGTAACTGTCAGTAAATATTTCCAGAAACATTTTTTTAAAAATGGTATTATAGCTATTTATACAATAACTTACGAAATGAGCGTCTTTTAGGCACGCGACGTGAAAATTGTCCAACGAGGCAAAGCCGAGTTGGACAACACGTCGAGTGACTAAAAGACATCGTTTCGTAACGTATTGTATACAAGATTTTTTCTACTGGCATTTTATAATAAAAAAACATAATTTTATTTCATGTGGATAAGTCGATTACGCCCAAAATCTTTGTTACTTGACACCTGACACTTTTCATGCAATTTTTTTTTCAAGATTCGACATCAATAATTAAAATCCTAGAAAGTAGGTAACAACACAAAGTTCTGTTTTGAGTAACCCAAACGTTCAATTCAGTAATTCCATTTTCAATATTCATAATAAATACAAAACAAAATTCAAATACGTGTTAAGTGTGTTTTTTATTTCTAAATAATGAATGACACTTTTAGGCACTAGTGCTTAAAAATTAGTTTTACGCACTCAAAAGTCACTTTTACGCATTCAAAAGTCACTTTTACGCACTGAGTGCCTAAAAGTAACTTTCACGCACTCAGTGCTTAAAAGAATGTCGTTTCAAAACTAAAATGACAATCGAAAAGTTGCTATTACGAAACGTCAGTAGAAAAAATCATTTTTAATCAAAAAAGCAGTGGCTCGTTTAAATAAAGACGAAAATAAATTATTACTTTGTACCGATCACGTTAGAATGTTTTTGGATATTTTATACAATGCGAAAATTTATTCTTGGTGTAAGACTATAAGTCGGAATTCACAGGCGGATAAAAAGCTTGCAAAATCTTCGAAAAAAACACAAAACCAGACGTTTTTGATCATAAATGATAAACACAAACAATTTGTTATTTTTTTTCAGCATCTTTTGCTTTTTTTTTCAACATTTATTTTCTCGTGTACGAATTGGACCAAGTTCAATTAAAGATGAAAGTATTTAGGTATTTCAATATTTTTAACTGCTTGCGCGATACATTTTCAAAGTTCAATGAATTTTCGTAGTAAAGACAATCGATTTATCTGAAATCATTGAAGATACTTACACAGATTTTTGTATTATAACACGCTTTCAAACAATATAAATATTTCAATTTTGACTTTTTGGAAACTTTCAATAAAATTCTATCTATAGATACCTACTTTCTGAACGGTAATTAGAAAAAGTATTCAAATCTATTTAGGTCATTGCATGGTATAAGCCATTTTAAAAGTCTTCTTATAAACAATGTTCAGGTATTCTATACCCACCATCATTGTATGGTATAATATCCATTATCTGAAAAAGAATTAAGATATAATTTCTGACATATATGGCAGACTTGATAAATTTAGGGTTACGATAATAATTAAAACATTGATAAGAAAACAAAAAGAGAAGAAACTCTCTTGGCCCTAGGAACATAAAGAACTAGAAAGTATGAGGAACGGATTGAACCAGTCAAATAAATCCAGTAAAATGGGTCCGGGTAGTGACAGGAGTATAGTACGACCTTATCCGGGCTCGCTAATATATAGCCTTCAAAAATTTAAAATAAAGAAAAATTTATTAACCATAGAGATAACATAGGAAAAAATAAAAACGGCCTGGCTCTCCAGAAGAAACCTCACTTCCAAGAGATTTCTCGAAGAAGAAACGTGTGCGCGTTTAAGTTAATTTTTTTGAAAAAAAAGTGTGTTTTAAAATTTTAATTTTTAACAATGGAACAAGGAATGGTCGCCTTTTTTGAGTTCGTGGGGCTAATCCCGGTAGCAACGGAGCGGGCAACCATCATACGCGTCGCGAAAGAAATCGTGCGGCGCCAACGGGTGAATTTGGGGAATGCGGACGTCGCGTTTCCCCAGTGGATCCGTCTGACGGCAACCCTCCAGTTATGGGAAGAGATGCTGGACCTCGAGGACCAATTCCTTGACGGCTTGAGGATCCGCCCGGAACCAGCCAGGTGCGGATGTGCTGTGTGCGTCAGGGGGGGGGCTCCAGCCTTCCAACCTCCTCCTCCGCCACCCCAAGAGTTTCCGTTCAAACCAAGGGAGTACGTTCCAGAAGCCGTCGGTAATCCGGAGTATTATTACCCGCGGTACACGGGATATGCCGCAAATCCATCGCCGCCCGTGTACGCGGAACTCCAGCCAGTTAACCGGCCCACCGCGGAGCCGTCCCTTAGCCAAAACAGGGACGGCCAAAGGAAAGGGGCAGTTTCCCCAGTACCCTCCGCCCTGAGACCCCATCAAGGCCCGCTATGGTAGGATTGGGTAGCCCACCCGCTCCGTCCGCTGTCCCGGCCCGATCGCCTTGGCTCCTGGCCAACCCTGTACGAGTGCCCCAGGAGGTCATACCGCCAGTAAATCGGTGACGCTCCAGATCCACGACGCCGGCGCCCTATGAAGTGGACGCCATGGAAAACCCTTTGAGGCTAAGATTAGACGTGCTGGTCGGGAATCCGAAAATTGAAAAAAAAAAAAATATATATATATATATATATATAAACAAAAGTTTCCAGGAGGTAAATAGCAATAAAATTTTGTGTAATTCAGTTATTAAAAAAAAAAGAAAAAATTCGCTTAGCACGTACATAATTAGGTTGAACGATCTGATAAATACTCACAGAGGGTTCACCAACCCAACCTTATTTTACGAAGCAGGCCCTAATTTATGGTGAAATTCGATACCTTAAAGGGACAGTTGAATAAGAGTTGACCGAAATTATATTATTTAATATGATTTCGGTTTTAAAGGGCAGAGGGATGTAATATTCCGAGAAAATAGACTCATAAATCACAATGTCATTTACTGTAAAAAATTAAATAATTAATGAAACAATCAAAAACTGAATTTCCGTATTTCTAAATCTGTATCGACAAATTAAAAATGAAACAAATTAACGCTAACGTAATTCGACCCCCCCCCCCCCGCTTGTCATCTCCTAGATTAAATTCTTAAAAATAATAAAAACGAAGACAAGGTGATGACATCACTAACAACCGATCAAAGAACTTTTGTTAGCGAAGGCCTTTCGGCGTACCAAAATTAAGTCGAATGAATTATGGCATTCTTGAACCCAAACGTTTTGACCTCAATAAATCAGATTAATTGATTTCAGGCTAAAAATGATATAAAATTCCAAGGAAATTGCATCATCTTAATTGTCATGGACATCATGTTTTATATAAAAATCGCGTTTCTAGAAGGAACGGTTAGTACTAGTTAACAGAGAGATGAGTTCGCAGTCCTGTCCAAACTGAATAAAGATTTTTCGAAAAGTTTCTTTCACGGCCTCGGTAACAGTCTTTGTAAAAGTAGCGGAAAGTTTTGAAAGAAAGAACATTTAAATTCGTCAACATTTATGTGCGTGCTAGCTAGATATTTTGAGTAATTAATTAAGTAATTTTACGTGTGTTTTATGGACAAAATGTAAGTACTCTATAGTGACAAGATTTATTTTTGATGAACATGACTTTTTGTGAATTTTACTAGAAAAACTTTTGACTTTTAAGCACTGTGGAACTTTATTACATTAAAATTAATAACTTGAGTGTTTTATAAATGAAACATTATCGCATAACTTTAATTACCTTAAGATATAATGACATTTAATGGTGCAAAGAAAATATGAAGGGACTTTATAATGCATTTAACAGAACATACATAGCTTCGATTTGAGTAGGGATTATTAAAGAAGTTTGAACTGGTTTGTCCAATTGAAAATTAAAGGCTATAATAACGAACTCATAAGAATTTAAATAATTTTTGTCTGTTAGCCAGGATGGCGAGAATTTGTAATTGTTCTAATTAAATGGAATAGGAAATCTTGAAAAATAGAATTGTCTTAAAATATTGGAAAGTTGTTAAAGGAAATTTATGATAGTAATTTGTTCTGTTGAAAAGGAAATGGGATGTGTAGAAAAGAAACTTGTGTTTGAAACAAGATTGTTGACGATTATCAATCAATATAATGGAGTGGTTAGTTTAAGAACTGTTGTTATTCAGGAGATAAAACTTCTAACGATTATAATTAGACGTATTGAGAAGTTGTATTTGAAATTTGTTATTCATCAAGAGACATTGATGATCTTAAGTGCAGAACTTTTAAATTAGGGATTTTATTTTTCAAGTAGAAGTTATTGTAAGATTTTATGAGAATAAATTAGTTGATAAACAAATAGGTAATTATTTTGGGTTTTCATAAGTAAAGGACTTAGAGATTTTAAAGAATTATTTGATTAGGTAAAGGGTAGTTATTAGGAATGATTCGGATGTAGTGAAATGAGTTAAATTATAAATTATGAGAAATAGTATGAATAGGGCGTTTCTTATTTAGTAGGGATATTTCAGTGGTCCGTAAAAAGTAACAATCTATCTTATTTGACAAAGAAGAACTAGAAAATTTGGCAAATAGTACAATACAGAAACTCTATGGGTACTTCACAATTATAGGAGAATGGACCAGTGGATTCATTGGTATTTATTTCATAATACGAATTATAAAATTCTGCATTGAGACATTTTTATGAATGCAATAGCCATTCATAGGCTAAACGGATGTTCGTTCCATTTATTAGCATCCTGCTGGGATACCCTCACGCTATTTTTATTACATCACAAACAAAATCAAGCACACGAAAAGATAATAAAGCTTCATGAGGAGGACGGAGGTACCCTTGCCGATGAACACAGTATTATTGAGATGAATCAGCAAGAGAATCAAAGGAAAACTCGACCACCCATACTAAATTCTCGGACGTCCCCTCGTGCATTTGCCTACTTACGAAAAGAATTAGCCAAGCTACCCCCAGTTCGCTGGGATTTATATGGGCGAAAAGAATAGAAATCTAAGGTCCCGAAGGTTATCGGAGGTGTCACCGCTGAAATGAATAGACTACAGTTACGAGGATATAGTTTAGAAAATAAATTAATAATAATTTAGTGGAAATAAATTAGAGATATCGGGAAGGGAACCCTAGAAGTGTTACCGAGATTTTCTGACATATATGGGAGACTTGACAAATTTAGGGTTCCGATAATAATTAAAACATTGATAAAAAAACAAAAAGAGAAGAAACTCTCTTGGCCCTAGGAACATAAAGAACTAGAAATTATGAGGCATGGATTGAACCAGTCAAATAAATCCAGTAAAATGGGTCCGGGTAGTGACAGGAGTATAGTACGACCTTATCCGGGCTCGCTAATACATAGCCTTAAAAAATTAAAATAAAGGAAAATTTATTAACCATAGAGATAACATAGGAAAAAATAAAAACGGCCTGGCTCTCCAGAAGAAACCTCACTTCCAAGAGATTTCTCGAAGAAGAAACGTGTGCGCGTTTGAGTTAATTTGAATATATTAAATGCCTAAAAATAAAAATATAATTGCAAAACTAATATTTTATGTGATTCTGTATCTTGCACTCCCAACACTAAAATCTTAAAATATATTAAAACTGAAGTACTTGTCTCAAAGTTCTAAACGTACCAATAGTCCTATAATTAAGTAAATTTACATATAGCTTCATAATGGTCGTCCGCATTATTGATTATTGTAGTTTTTAATATAGGTAAATAAAGTAATACAACCGATTTCATGTTTTTTTCCGATTAATGCTATTGTATATTCTATTAACATTCTATTATTTCATTATTACCGTACGCATCGAAGGGCGTCAGCATCGTAATCATATTTGTATATTCGAATATAAATCAATGGTACCACCCGAGATACTGACACGCCCACTTTTCGTCTAAAACCTTGAAATCTGTAATTGAAGAGTTTGGGGCAAAAAGCGGTCAAAGACCAAATTTGTCAAAATCGAGATTTCGTCAGATTTTGCATTAAAAATATACTCTCCATCGTCTGGAGCAAAAACCGTCCATGTATTAGCATCAAAATAGCATTTACTTACACATAGCCCTTTTATTGCACAAAACGTGTTGATGGACCGGGTAGGCGCATGTAATAGTTTGTGTCAAAAAGCGTCCACGTGTTGCACATGACCGTTTGTTGCACCAAAAGTCCTTGACCTATATATTTGCTGTTATTCTAACCTCAAAGCGCTCAGTACAGGTTCACACAAGGCACACGATCTTACTTAAAAATGAGTGATTATTTAAGTGATACAAGTGATACTGACCCTTTCCATAACTCAGATGATAGTGACAAGGACCCTGACTATGTAGATTCAAGTGATAACGAAAATAATCAAGGTAGGAAGTTTTTTTTTTTTTTTTTTGTTCTGTTTGTAAAGCTACTATTTTGGTAAAATTTACAGGATTCACAGTACAAGCTCCTAGTTCAACAACTGATACTTCCGAAGATGAATTTGATGAAGACCAAGCAGGTATGCTTTAAAAAATAAATAATTGGATATTCTAAAAGATGATTTATTGTTATTTACAGGGCCATCCAGACCACATGTTACTACATCCAGAACTGATACTTCTCATATTACTGCCAACGACGAGATTATTGAAAACGAAGCCGGTAACTATGCGATTTTTTTAAGCAATTTGTTAATCTGAAAGTGTTATTTTTATTTTAGAAAACAACGACGCCGGAATGGAAACTAAAACTAAGAAAAGAAAAAGAAGGCCTGAAAAATGGAAGAAAAATATAAATAAACTAAAAAGAAATTCAGGCAAACAGTATATTAATAAAAAGGGTATAGTTGTCTCGGAAAAGAGGTTGGGTCCTAGATGTCAGTGCCGTGGGAAATGTTTTGATATTTTAACAGAAGTTGAGAAAAACACAATATTTGGAAACTTTTACTCCATGCAAGATAAAAATATTCAGGACTCATACTTGGGTGCACTTATAGATGTGAAAAAGGTAGTAAGGAGAAGAAAAACCACTGAGGTTGAAAAAAAAATCTATTCCTATTACTACCACGTCAAAGTAGGCCCTAAAAGTGTGAAGGTTTGCCGTACAGCCTTTTGTAGCCTGCATGGAATACATAAGTCACGTGTTTTGAGGATTTGTCATTCTAGGGCCTCTGGATCCTTGCTTGAGAAAGATAAGCGTGGAAAACATCAGAATAGACCGAACAAAGTTCCTGACGAAGTGGTTGCTACAGTAAAAAATCACATTGAAAGTTTCCCAGCACGCGAGTCCCACTATTCCAGAAATAAAAATAAGAAAAAATTTCTGCCCGCTGAGTTAAATGTAAAAAAAAATGTATGAGCTTTACTTAGAAAAGTATGATTTTGACCAATATTCTCTGTTAAAAAACCATCAAAAAATCAAGCCCAAGGTTACATATGATTTTTACTATCGTTATTTTACGCAAAACTATAACTTATCCTTCGGATATCCCAGAAGTGACACCTGCTCTTCTTGCGACGTAATGAAAATTCGTATTGAAGCTGCCTCGACAGAGGAAGAAAGAAGGGAATTAACAGTCCAGAAGGAAGTGCATCTTCGCAAAGCCCAAGCATTCTATGATGACTTAAAAGAAAAATCAGAACTAGCAGTAACCGATCCCTCTGTCGAAACGATCTGTTTTGATTATCAGCAGAACCTACCACTTCCTGTTTTGACGACTGGTGACATATTCTATGCAAGGCAAATATGGGTTTACAACCAGATGTTCCATTCCTGCTCAAACAACCAATCAGTAAGCTACATGTTTGACGAAATGACTGCAAAAAAGGGTTGCATCGAATCGATTTCTTTTTTAATGCATTTCATAGAGAAATATGTCAGCAAAACTGTCACAACTTTGTACATCTTTACTGACAACTGTGCGGGGCAAAACAAAAATGCGGTAATGGTGCATTTTTTGCTAGCCTTAGTCAGTAATGGAAGATTCAGAAAAATAGTTCATCACTTACCAGAGCCAGGACACAGCTTTTTACCCTGCGATCGAAACTTTGGTCAAATTGAAAAGAAAAAACGCAAGAAAGAGCTTCTTTATTTGCCAGATGAATGGTATGATTTGGTTCAGAGCTGTGGCAAAAAGTTTGTTGTCGAGCGGGTGGAACAAGACATTATATTTGATTTTAAAAGTTATCTTGAACCATATTTTAAGAAGACTTCCGTAATAAAGAAAAAACCATTCACCATTTCAAAGTATAGGATCTTCATCTATGATTCTGTTCAACCTGATCAAGTGCTTGTTACAGAAACTCACAATATTGCTCTTGTCGTCGGATATCCTTTGTATAAATCTCCAGGTACCAAAATCGATTTACATGTGGCTCCTTTAGCATACCATGAGAAGTTAGCCTTAAAAACCAAAAAGTATGACAGCATAATGCCTATTGTCAAAAAATATGTTCCACCTATTTATTTGGAATATTATAATACAATAAAACGGGCAGCAGATGAGAATAATGCCGAAGATTCCGATTGATTTTATCTTAAATGTATCTAGTTTACTTTTCTCTACACTTACTTGTATAAAGCTATGTTGAAGACCGTAGTTATTTGATCTAATCATTAAAATTACATATTTTGTAATTCAATTTGTGTTTTTTTTTTGCTTTATTGGTGGCAACAACCGGCCACGTGCATCTTAAGATGTGAAATAAAAACTTTGTCATTAGCAATATAAAGTGGAAAAATATAGTGTCTTGTTAAGTTTTTAGTTAGCAATTAAACGAAACATACCAAAAAAATATGTCTTGGAAATTAGACGAATGGTACGTTTTTCTCAATTATCTCAAAACTAGGTTCCATGCACGTGACCGATTATTGCACCAAGCTCTTCAATTGGGTGTACCACGAAATACAGATAGATGGCTCCAATTACGCCCTTAATTTAATTTTGCAATAGGGAACTTGCAAGTGAAGTAAAATTTTCCGAATTTGTTTTAAATCGATAGTTTATGCTGCACAATATTCATATGACCAGTTTTTATTTAACTGATATCGTCCTTGTTACACAAAAAATAATATTAAATTTGAAATAAAAACTTTCCCGCCAAAACAATGCTCCATGATGAATACCTGTTTTGACGTCACGATTCTGTAAACAAACCCGTCAATAGGGAAATCTCTGATAGGGAACTTGCACGTAAAAAAAATACAAAAGCAGTCCTTCACAATAGTCTTCATCCATTGCGACAATTTTCATAAAAAGCAAACTTTAACACACTTGAATAACACAAAAATAGCACTGCGTTAGCAGGAGTTCGTTTGCTTTGTATTTGATGTTTACAAAATCTCAACGTCACAAGCGCTGTCAAATTGAGATTTCGTGTTTTCGCGCCAAAGTATATAATTTGAATTTCAATAAAATTTTTTTCGTACAACGTATAAATTAAAATGGAAAAAAAGAAAATTTCGTGATAACTGATGACTAGAAGTATCTAAAAAAAAATAATTTGAGAAATATGAAAATTCCCTATTGCCTAATAGTGAGTGGGGCCCATCTAGCGAAATTAATGTGATCGCAAGACCTGGGAAGAATTTGACGCATAAGAACTATCTTACTATAGTTTAATCTGAATAATTTGGCATATTGGGCAATAAAATATGCAAACCAATCACAATTAAGAAACCCGCCCTAGAAATGTGAAAGACCGTGAAAGACGTACGATTTTGTTATCACATGCTATAAAGAAAGTAAAGTAAAAAGATACAACTACTGTTTCTCACCGCTTGTTTAATTCGTACAGGCATCCCAGGTAGGGTCTCATTGGTACCTCTAGGTACACACCACCGTTCTAAACGTAAAACCCCATATTCAGGGTGTCGGTACTGAGCGATAAGGAAAAGTAGTTGTCTTTTTTCACTGAACTATATTTATAGCATGTGACAACAAAAACTTACGTCTTTTCACATTTCTAGGGCCGTTTTCTTAATTGTGATTGAGAAGTGTCCATACACGTCCATTCCATGGGAAAAAAAAAATTAAATAATATAGCGCCCGTCAATGTGTTAATAGAAAAATACAAAATAAATTGAAGATCACTTACTCTGCCTCGCTGGAAAATTTTCACAGATGCAACACCGATAAGCGATTTGCGGCTTTGTGAGGGAATGAATACTAGAAATTATATAGCAAATGTCTATTTCAAATAGCAAGATGCCAGTTGAAGTACAAATCCAACAATAATATATTGGAAATTATCAGTTAAAATTTTAGTAGAGACGAAAAGTAGACGTGTGCTACCTCGCGACTTCGCTACGAAAGTTTTTTCGAAAATCAACCAGTTTTTAGGTGGAAGTTGCTAAATTTTTTCCCACGATTTGAAAGTCTTTTCAAATATCTAAAGTCGATAAATTGTAGATCAAAAAATAAGGCACCGACATTTTTCTATTAGGGTTTGATGGGCTGAGCTCGATAAGGTTTAAACCCCCAGACACCCCCGTGATCGGACAATACGTACAGGTAGATTGCCATACACACAGCTGTCCGTCCTCAAAAACCGTAACCTTTTTTTCTCCAAATCTCTTAGGTTATATAGTTTTACAATACAGTACCGAAAAGGCAATTTAAATAGCAATGTAGATGCATTAACTCGTTGGCGAAATGAGGAAGAAATACCAGTGGTAGCTGCTGTAAATAAAGAGCACAAGCAAGAATTGAGACCGGTATCAAACGCAATTTGGACCGAATAGGAAATACGAAAACTACAAGACAATGACGACCTTATAACGAGAATTAGAGAAAATATAGACAATGAAAATTCCCCGTACTTCTTAAATAATGGAATCATTTATAAGCAAAGGGAAGAATGGCAACGAAACGATAGGATATTTGCACCAAAGAAAATCGTTCCTGAAATATTGAGGATTTACCACAATGCCGTATATTCTGGACATCCAGGACAAAAGAAAACCAGACAGATTATAGAAAAAGATTTTTATTGGACAACTATAAGCAAGGATGTAAAAGAGTATGTCGAAAAATGCCAATCTTGCAACCTACATAAGACGAATTATCAACCACCCGTAGCTATGCAACAAAACATAGTACCACCGATTCCTTGGGGACGAATAAGTATGGACATCGTTGGACCTCTGAATAAAACTAATAATGGAAACAAATACATTCTAACATGCATAGATTTTCTGACAAGATATCCTGAATGTATACCAATACCTGATATTAAGGCCGAAACAGTAGCAAAGGCTTTCGTAGAAAATATCCAAGAGAAATTTTGACGGATTGTGGAACCCAATTTTTAAGTAAACTGTTCACAGAAATTTGCACCATATTAGGGATCAGGAAATTAAAACCAACGCCTTATCACCCGAGTGCGAATGGGACTATAGAGAGATTCCATAAAACTATAAAAACGATGATAAGTCACTATGTAGACGATCACAATGACAGTTGGGATGAAGTATTACCATTTTGCTTATTAGCCTACAGGAACCTACCGCATGAAGCTACGCAAGATTCCCCATTATTTCTTATGTTTGGGCGAGATATGGAACTCCCTGTACATTTAATGATTTCAAATGGACCAATAAGATATGACTTAGATGAAAATTATGTCACAGAATTCGTAACAAAAATGCAAAATGCTCATGAACTAGCAAAGAGAAATATAGAAGTAAGTATCAACAAACGATGTGGCAAACATACCGCTAAAAGAACTCCAAAAGAATTTCAAGTCGGAGATTTAGTCTATATCAAAAATCCAGTTTTACCAGGAAAGCATTTAGCACCAAAATTCCGATGTAAATGGTCAGGACCCAGTAGAATTATACAACAATTAGGACCAGTTACCTTCAAAGTTAAGGAATTACATGGAAAAAAAGAACAAATCCTACATGCAGAGAGACTTAAGCTTTGCAAAGGCCTAGAAGAACAAATAGAAAGTCCTAATCTGAACTTTGAAAAAGAAGAACGCAATGAAGAATCGCGAGAAGATGATGAAATGCAAGAAAACGAAGAAGACGAATTTTTGACAAGAGGGCGTGAAATTGTAGAATTTCCACTAATACACCGAGAAAGAGAGAGAGAAAGTGAAAGTAGCGAGAATGAAACCTCAGGAGAAGAATCTGGGAATGAAGAGGAGGAACAAGAAGAATTATCGGAAGAAAACTCGAGTGAAAACTCCGATAATGAACAGAGAAATCTTCTGCTGAGATTTTGGCTTTTCGCAGATAATTCCACTGCCGAACAGGAGAATCGTCTTCACAAGATCGAAAAAATATTTGATATGTTTATAAAAAATTTCCAAAGTACTTTCACTCCAAATGATTCAGTATGTATAGATGAAACGATGATACCCTTTAGAGGACGATTGAGCTTTAGACAGTACATACCCTCAAAAAGAAAACGCTATGGGATAAAGTTGTATAAGCTCTGTACAGAGAAAGGATATACATGGAATGCGTCCATATATGTATATCGGTAAAGATAAAAATCCTGACTCAAACATTTTAGTTTCTGAAACTGTTGTCCTAAAACTGATACGAGATCTTCTAGATGAAGGACGAACGCTTTATCTCGATAATTTTTACTCAAGCATACCCCTACCATACAAACTTCTTGAGCGTAAAACACACTCAGTAGGAACTTGGCGTTCAAACAGGCAATATTTCCCGCGAGTTGTAAAGGTTGCTAAACTTTCTAAAGGGCAAATTATGGCTAAATAATCTCCTGAAGGCGTCACAGTGCTGATATGGTGTGATAAACGTGATGTTAGAATGATATCTACTTGTCATGATGGTAACGAAACTGTTGTGACGAAAAGCAAATCGCAAACTGAAAAAATCAAACCCAGATGCGTTGTGGATTATGATAACGGCAAATCTCCGGTGGATGTCAGTGATCAATTGGCATCATATTCTACCGCCCTCAGAATATTTAATAAGTGGTATCGGAAGATAATGATGGAAATGTTATGGGGTACTTCTGTTGTAAATGCTCATTACTTATACAATCTAAATTGTGTGAACAGTAACAACATGAGCATCACAGACTTCAGAGAGTGTTATTTTGTCACTTTTAGAAGACCAAGATTCAACGGAGGAAAAGACCTAGCGTTGCTCACCATTTAGTTGCACATAAAGAAAAAAAACGAGCTCGATGTGCAAATTGTTACAAGAATCTGAAAAAAAAACGGAAAAATTGTGGGCGGAAAGAAGAAGATGGCTGCACAAGTGATACCAATATGCGATACATGTGAAAACAACCCTCATTTGTGTCGCTCTTGTTTCAATATCTTACATTAGAAAAGTCTCTTTTGTACTTGATTTTCTTTTGTTTTTTCTAAGGAATTCATTTCTTTCACTTATTTCTTAGGAATCACATTTTTCTTTTTCATCTTTTCATTTATTAATGCCTTTCGGTTTTGAAGGTTTTTGAATAAACGTTTTTTTTGCATCTCAGGGTTTTCTTACCTATGATCCGTTTCCTCAGGCCAAAGTTATATATTATGCCATTGTGTT